TATTAATTAAATATTGCATTGAATTGTATTACTCTTCCCAGCAGGCACACAATCATAAGATGTTTATTATTAGGTTAGATTTAGGTTGTGACGTCAGGTGACCAAAATTCAATATCTAGCCAGCATCTAAGGACAACGTTATTTTGACGTCCACTAACAACGTCAAACGATGTTGATATTTGGCTGATTTTAGGTTGTGTTGGAAAGTGACCAAAATCATATTGACATCAAATGCTGACATTTATTTATCAGGCATGGCAACCAAAATCCAACATCTTATAGACGTCACAGTGGTAGCGTCTACACAATATTCCACGACGTTGGGGTACAACGTCAATCTGACGTCATGTTGACGTCCTGGGCCTCCTGGGTTCTTACAGCATGCATTACTGTAGATATTATTTTAGGAAACGATGTATAATAACATTTCAAAACAAATACAATATGATGAAACTGTTATAGTGACTTGATTTCATAATGTGAAATGATTATCAAACACTTAAATAGAGTTTAATAAAAAACACAGATATATAAGATTACTTTTTGACAAACAATTTTGTCCGCTTTGCAGGTTGCTTTGTTCACCTGAGCAAAACAGGCTTGATTATCCACACACACACACACACAAACAAACAAACAAACAAAAGCACACACTATGGTCACCGGCTGTGAAATGACTGCATGGCTAGCGGCTCTAGCCACAGATCTTTCTTTCTTTGTGAAAAAAGACATGCTATTCTGCCACAATCAGATAATCAACAGCCCAAGGGGCAGTTCGCGCTAAACGTGGCAGCTCTTTTCAGAAGCCACATGCTGGAAAACAAAAAACACAATCTACTTTACAATGGAAAATATGCGTAAACACAAGTTGCTGGAAGATGAGATATGTGTGAGATGTGTGAGTGAGAAAGAGATTGTGGAAGTGTTTTGTCCAGCTGTTGTAATTCCCACACGGGGGGGGGGGGGGGGGGGGGGGGGGGTCTGAAATCCAGTTTGGACAGATGATCTCTACTCATGTTCTCCATATTTATACACTCACATCCCACAAGCAAGCTCACTATATGAGCCTCTTCAGCTACTACAATACACATTTGAGGCACAGACCAATCACAAAGTTTGTGAAAGGATTTTCTTGCTGTTTTTCTGATAACGGACAAATTCTGAATAAGAGTGTTTTGGATAAATACATCTACAGTATAAAAAAATGTCAATACAGACTGACTTAAGGCCATTTTCTAATTATAAATGAATGGATGGATGGATGGATGGATTTAGTGAAAAATGCTTTAAATGAATGCTCCTAATTTCAAATGTTTAATTTTTTAAGTGAACAATAGCATTATTAGCTTTTTCCTTTTGAAAGAAGAAAAAGAACAATTCAATTCCTTGACTAGTTTCCATAACAGATCCCTTAACACGGTGGTTCCCAACCATTTTTTGCCTGAGACCCCATTTTCCCCTGGAAAATATTGTAAGATATTGCACCGTAAGTTGATAAGAAAAAAAAATATTGATTTAAAACCGATTTTAGAGAAAAAAAATGCTGAAATATGCAAAGATTATATATTAAACTTCCACCAAACAAAAATGATGGTTTGTGTCAAACTTTTACTCTCCGTCACATTAAATTATGTAAAATCAAAATGTGCATGTATCCGTTAATTCATTCATTCATTCATTCATTTTCTTGTCGGCTTAGTCCCTTTATTAATCTGGGGTCGCCAAAGCTGAATGAACCGCCAACTTATGCAGCAAGTTTTTACACAGCGGATGCCCTTCCAGCCGCAACCCATTTCTGGAAAATATCCACACACATATTCACATACACACTCATACTTTGGACTGTGGGGGAAACCAGAGCACCCGGAGGAAACCCATGCGAACACAGGGAGAACATGCAAACTCCACACAGAAACACCAACTGAGCCGAGGCTCGAACCAGCACCTTCTTGCTGTGAGGCGATGGCACAACCTACTGCGCCACTGCTTCGCCCATGTGCATGTATGTTACAATGCAATGTACAAATCATAACAAAAAAGTACGCAAACACATTAATATACAGATCAGATCTAAAATTCAGATCTTTTAAGCATACAGTATATTTACTAAGGATGCACTGACCTTAAACCAACAATTGGATAGATAAAAATCAGAAAAGCTTGGAAAACAATGGAATTCCGGAACATTTTCTTTTCCTTCTCTGTGTTTGTTTCTCCACTTGTTCAACCGGATTAAAGTTTACAGACAGTCTGAATCCGGTTTATTTTAATTGTCAAACATGATCACACGCACAACTACAATAGTGTAAATAACCCACATGTCTGAACTAAAGCACTTTACAAGTATAGAAATGAATAGTTCACGCAAAACTAAAAATTATCATCCTTTACTCACACTTTAATTCCTCCAAACCTTCCTTCCTTCCTTTCTCAGTTAAACACAAAAGATTATATTATGAAAGCTGAAAACATTGACTTTCATATCTGTTAGTTAGTTAGTTTTATATTCACAAATTAAAAATTTCACCTTCTTAATACAATTTCAGAAAAGTATTGTTTGCAAATTCCAAATAGGGAAATCATATTAGCAGCCGATCACTATCAAACATTGTTCACAGTTAATTAAATAGTGCTAATGTTGATTTGAAGTCTTACTTTTTGAAGTCATAGATTTTTGAGTCACACCGAATATTTAAACTAGCATAGTAGTATACTATACTAATAGATATTAATAGAATAGCAACAATAGAGATTTTTATACATATCGTAATATATATATATATATATATATATATATATATATATATATATATATATATATATATATATATATATATATATATATATATATATATATATATGTATATAGTTGAAGTCAGAATTATTAGCCCCCTTTGAATCTTTTTTCTTTTTAAAATATTTGACAGATGATGTTTAACAGAGCTAGGAAATGTTCACAGTATGTCTTATAATATTTTTTATTCAGGAGAAAGGTTCATTTGTTTTATTTCGGCTAGAATAAAAGCAGTTTTTAATTTTTTAAACACCATTTTAAAGACAAAATTATTAGCCCCTTAGCAATAGCAAAATTTTTTTCGATAGTCTACAGAATAAACCATCGTTATATAATAACTCGCCAAATTACCTTAACCTGCCTAGTTAACCTAATTAACCTAGTTAAGCCTTTAAATGTCACGTTAAGCTGTATAGAAGTGTCTTGAAAAATATCTAGTAAAATATAATTTACTGTCATCATGGCAAAAATAAAATAAATTAGTTATAGCGACGCTATCACCACGCTACTGTGAAATGTAGGTCTAGCTATTAAATTTAGTAATGTGTTGACAAAAATCTCTGCGTTAAACAGAAAATGGGGGGAAAAAATCATGAATCATGGATGAAAAATAATAAACAAATTGCAAGCAAAAATAAATGCAATAGAGCAATGAAAAATGTAAATCAAAAATGCTATGGTTTTCTGGAGATGAAAACAGCCCAGCAGGCATACAACGTCACAAGACATTAATATTGATGATTGATAATGAACTCTCTAACTGCATCAGAACAGCAGAGTCACTCGCTAATTTCAATAAACGACTAAAAACTCAACTATTTAGTCTCCACTTCACTTCCTAATCTGCAATTGCCTCTCTGAATATCACACTAACTGTACCCAAAAAAATATATATATATACTAATACTACTAATACTTTCCTTCTTAGACTTTACAGACCTGAAACTTGCCTATAGCACTTATTCATTGTTGCTCGTATAGTTGTGTAAATTGCTTCCTTGTCCTCATTTGTAAGTCGCTTTGGAGAAAAGCGTCTGCTAAATGACTAAATGTAAATGTAAATATGTAAATATATTATGTTCGATTTAGGTGGCTGGAATTTGAGGACAATGTTATTTTGATGTCCAATAACAACATCAAACGACGTGAATATTTGGCTGATTTTAGGTTGTGTTGGACATTGACCAAAATCCAACGTCATATAGACGTCAAATACTGACATTTATTTGCCAGGTATGGCAACTAAAATCTAACGTTAAATAGACATCATTGTAACGTCCACACAACGTCAAGATGTAACATCATTAGACTTAGGTTGTGTTGGAAAGCAACAAAAATACAACATTTGTCTGACACTGGACATTGACGTCGGACATTGGGTTCAGACGTCAACCCGATTTTCATCATTTACAGAAATTAAATAATCAAACGTAATGTAAAATGTTAAATAGCACTGCATGGACTTCATTATATTAATAATTCAGTTGAAATTATTTCAGTCGAATGCTTTAAACTCTTTTGAAGTGCCTTTAAACACATGCAAAGGATAATGTTTTACTCTGTTTTGTGACCACAAATCTTATGTATTCTGAATTGTGGTGCTGATCAACTATAATAATCCAAACTCAACATTGCATATTCTGCGATGTGACTAAACATTGCAATATCGATGCTGAAAGGATATATTGTGCAGCCCTAATAGAAAACTTCTATAGAGATAAGTGTGTTTATCAGTTTTTTAGTTACAGTTACAAATACAATGTGTGCATAACAACATGTCGTGATAATTCATCTGTATCAGCCTATTTAAATTCTGCTTTACTATTTTATTGAACGTGAAAATCCCAATGTTTGAATAAAAAACCAACTTAACCCCAATGTTTGTTTTTCCTACTATGGAAGTCAATGGCTACAGGTTTTCAGCTTTCATTAAACATCTTCTTTTAAGTTCAACAGAAGAAACAGCTCATCAGGGTTTGGAACCACTTGAAGGTGACTAAATAGTAAACATTCAGTTTTGAGTGAACTATCCATTTAAGTTTTTTTTTTAAATCAAGCATATGTTAAAATGTCACTTCAACTACTTAAAATAATTAGATAATGTTTATAAATAACATTAAATATTTTACCTAAATGCTATGACAAACAAAACAGCTGAGAAAAGATGTGTGAGCACCATATGTCACTCAGACAGACTCTTACTTACCCGGCACACTCGCACCGACGGCGGCGAGGATAACGCAGATCAGCAGCCCGGGCAGCAGAAGGGAGGCCCGGGCTCGCCGTGTGCTCCGGGTCGGAGAAAACAACATCCTTCACGGAGCTTTTCAAGTCCAGGACAGCAGATAAACGCCGCGGGGTGTCATTCCCAAATCTGGATGTAGGTCGGTTGGACGTACGCGACTGACAGAGAACAAACCGGCCCGAATGAAGATGGGAGCGTCAACTCTGAAAGAGCGTTAAGCCGCCGTGGTACAGAGCTAAAGATAGAGGAGAGAGATTTAGGAGGAGGAAAAAGGAGGAGGAGCGGCACCTCCGTTGATTGACAGGACAGATTAGCGGAGATCCCTGCGGCAGCGGAAGGATGAATGAGCTCGTGACGCAATGACGCTGACGTGGTGCTTCTTCGCTCAGGTGAAGGGACGCGTTCTGTTAGTAACAAAATAAAAGGTTTCAAAATAAAATGATTGACGTAAATGTTAGAGGTGCATAATTTCATTGTAATTAGGGATACCAGGTCATTTTAATGAGACTACTAGGGTCGTTATTATGTTAAAGTTCACCAAAACAATTTAAGTTTGCTGTAAATTTACTCAACTTTAGACCATATAAGATGTGGGTGGGTATTTATTTCAGTATATCATTAAAAAGGATTAGCTGAAGCTATATAGCTATAAAAACGACTACACTGTAAACACAAATTATTGTTGACTTTAATTGACATTATTAGTTAGTTTTTAGTTGAACTTTTTAAATAATCTCAATTTACATCATTAAAACTGACTAAAATACCAGGTTAAAGTTTGTATGCAAAAAACAAATTAACTTATAAGTTAAAGTAACTTAAAAATATTTGTTGTCGTGTATTTGATGGGGTTTATAAAAATGGCTTAATATTTTCTAATACTTCAGTGTCTTGTATTTTTGTATTTTTAAAATCCTGTAAAATTTTTTATCTTTTTTATTTCATGAAACTATATAATACAACTAAAAATAACAGTTCTTTCACACAATAATCACATTACATACGATACAGAGCAAAACCAAAATAAAATACTTATAAAGTTAAAATAAATAATGCTGTAAAAAAAGAGACAAGTATTCAAGTAGCATTAAAGATCTCATCATATTTGCTCAAGAAAGAAGCACATTTTTTATTATCAATTAATCTAAGTGATTTAATCAAATGTTCTAATTCACATAGGAAAGATGGATTTTTTTAAGGAACCTATTTTTGTGAAAGTAAAATTTTCCAGGGAGAAAGTTCACAGTGGATTCTACAGCTTGTTTTGGTTTTGAAAATAACTAAAAATCTCCTTAAGGTGCAAATTACCACTCATATTAACCTTGGAAAAGCAATATAAACTTAAATTATTCCAAAACAGTGATGATACATCGCATGAAAAAAACATGTGACAAATGTCTTCACACTCATTCTTAAAAAAAAAGGCAAATCTCAGTAACATCGCAATATTTGGATAAAAGTGCATTAATACTGTAAAATACTTTTGTAAAAAGTCTACATGATGACATCATAAAAATGAGGCCTCTGATTGGTGCTTTCCCAGTAATTTGCCTAAGCTTGAGATCCAAACAGAAAATTGCATAATATTGAAGAAGGTGGTCAACATAAAGAAAATAAGAGACACATAGCATGAGCATATTTGAGAGCTTTCGACAGTCATTAAAAATAGTGTACTGCACAATGCTAAGATCAGTAATATTTAATCGCAGTATAGTGTACAATGCATCAGCATCTTTGCTAAGTCCAAAAACAGTAATGTGGAAATGAACAGAAATGTTATGCTCCCTTGTAAAAGTATTTTGTAGTATTTTTCAAAATACAAAATGAAGTATTTTATTTTGATTCATTTCTGGCTGCTGTTTTGTAGTTTATTTTGATACATGTAAAATTGAGGTATTTGGTGTTTTATTTTAAAATACATTTCAATGTATTTTTGCCCATCCCTGGTGCTAATGTTGTATTCAGGCCCTGGCCAGGAAGTCAAAACTGAGGGGGCACTTTAAATCCATAGGGGGCACTAGACCTGGTGACTGATTTTGGTCTCTTGTTTCTTTCATTCAGGCTATTTATTCACATTTATTATTACTTTGCATTACTGCCTAAGTTACTTACCTAAGGCAGTAATACAGGCTACGTTTTAATAGTAATAACAATATGCAGTTTCGCTATTACGAATTTTATTAACGATGGTAATGCATACCGCTTATTAATGCAGACGGATCATGGCTTCAGTGCCAAACGAGTGCTTTAAATCATATGTTATTCTCCTTATTTCCGTTTTATTTCAAATAACAGGTCTATGAATGTTTAAAGTTTTAGGTAAAGACGTCAAATTATGCCCACACATGCAAGCTGACCCACGATCAGACTATTCATTTAACCGGTAAATAAATATATCCCGCTTCAGCCTATTATCCAACCAACATTAGGGAAAAGCTAAATGTTACAATCGAGTGTCATTTAAAACAATTACTTAGTTACATTTTAAGGCATTAGTGTAGCCAGTAAAATACCTAAAAAAATACCAAAATTTACATGTTATTAGTATTACCGTGAAAATTTGTTAAATTTTGGCACGTATAACACGCAACTTAATATGCTATATAACTTTTTTTCATCATTTTAAATGTAAAAAACAAAGATTTATCTTATATTATCATAAGTGTGTTTTTTTCGTGATATTGTAAACCATCATAAACCATTAGGTTACTAGACCTACCCGTCATTTTATTTATTAATTATTTTATTTATTAAGCCTTTTTTAATAGCTTGTTTTCAGGTTATTTTCATTTTAGGGCCATGAGCTACAAGTCAACCAAACTTGCTCTTAAAATAGATCTACAATATATTTTATGTTGTTTAATTTTGCTTGAGCAAATAGCAGTATAGCCTAAATTACATATTTTTAAAAGATTATCATTCAGCCTACCTGCAGCGCATGTGAGAGGTTTCTCGGTTGATCCGCGGTAATTCCACTTAAGCAATATATACATATTCCATTTATAACACTGCAAACTTGACTTTGCAGGCCGATCATCTTTAAACGCAAAAGGCATTTATTATGTGTTATATCTTGACTGCTGCTGCATAATGGGATGTTTCTCTACACAACTGTAAAAGTGCGCTTTTTAGCAAAATGAAAGCAAACATTTAAAGGGTTCTGCGTTTTGTCAATTTTAGCTTAATTGTAATAATATTAATAATAATATTAATAAATAAATTCAAATATTATTTATAGTGTAGCCTACTGCAGGACTGTGCAGTAAACTATTTATTTTTATTAAAACATTTTTATTAGGCTACATCTTCCCGAATAACTAATAAATGACTGGCAGTTGCGTCTCTGCTAAAATTAATTTCACAGCAAATTTCTTATGTTTTTTTTTTTCCTTTTAGAGCTCAAGAGAGTTGTGTTTAAATAATTAGTTAACCAAAACATGTAATGAATTAAGCTGCTTCTATCATGTAACCCACTTTTCTCCCTAATTGTGAGTTGAGTGCGCCTCCATCTTTTAAAGGCTATTTACGGGCGCACCTGACCGGATCTCTGGACTATAGGACTAGCTTTAATCTCACCATTCTCATAATTCAATTGCTATGCCATATATTTTAAAATATTAAAATGTGTGTTCTGAAGGTTGGAACGACGGGGGAGTTAATAATTAATGACAGAAAGAATTTTCAGTTTGAGTGAACAATCCTTTATAAAAACTGGGGGGCACAAACTCTTTCTGAGGGGGCAATGTTGGGCAAAGTCTGGCAGCTCCTGAGATGAAGAGCATCTGACAGTCAGGGCTAATGATGAAACTTCTGCTCAGACAGCGATGTTTACGAGCGAGCCAAATGCTGCATTGTGTAACTATGGTACACAGTACTGCTACTTCATAGTTGCCTAAATATCATTCTGAAATCCCACCAAGACTCTCAAAGAGCATAAAAGAGTAAAAAGAGTTGAGCATAATACGACGTGAATACTAGTTAGCTCCCATAGAAATATACATTGGATGTCCCCTACCCTGATGTTGTCTCCTGGAATAAATGCGTCAATAGAGCCGCCATTTTAGTACAGATTAGCGCTCCTTTGAAATGAACGCTCCTTTTAATTGAGCGCCATCTAGCGGTCACATAATCTAATGACTAATATTATGATAACTTGTTCAACTTCTTTTAGAAATATAAATAACTTGACATCACTTTTTTTTCCTCACCACCACACTGGTCTTTTTCACAAGACAAAAATTTTGTTGTTGGAAACTGTATTTTATATACTTAAATTTGACTTTTGCATGCTAAAAGTACTTGAGTAAGAGACGTTTTACTAGATTTGGTCATAAAAAAAACTCCCTGTGATGTGTGTAGCCTATACCTGCTGTATGTAGTCAACCTAAATCCTACTGGAGGTTGACATACAACCAAAACAACACCCATTCTTATCTTAGGACATTTTATTAAGCAAATTTTTAAATAACAGTAAGTTCATGACATGTTAAATATATAGTATCATTTGCTTGTTTTAAACATACAGAATAATAATAAATATAGTTATGAAACAACCATAACATAACCCTTATGTCTTAGGACATCTTTGATTAACTTTTTATATCTACACCAAACGTTGGCTAATGAAAGTACATTTATAACAACCATTTATATGTTAGACTACTGTATTGTCAAACCATGTAGCATACAAATGCATTCAACTGACTTACATGACAGTGCATTGCTGTAGAGGACAAATAAAACACGAGACAGGTGTTTAGAAAGAGTGTAGTTTATTTAGTTTGACATGCAAACAAGACAAACTTTCAGAAAACAACCGTGAATATAACCCGCGGTTGTCTTCAATAGTCTTTCTTTGCTCAACAGCTTAGCTGAAAAACAAAGCAAAACATTACAACAGTCAGACAAAGAGCAAAGAGCATAGAATCACCAAGAGGCGACACTACACTTTGGGAAACAATAACACGCTTTTGAATAAATTAAATAAAAACAAAGCAGCTGCTTTCCATCGCGACAGCAATGAGATCCAATGGACGGCCGATCGCTTTCACTTCAAAATGGCGGAATCCGGGGCTGTTGCTCTTGATCATTCTAAGCTCTTTGCATAAAGTTAAATCATAACAGTTACCATGGTGTCTATTTTAAACTATAGTAAACTAAAGTTTGAAACTATAGTTTAA